AAAAAAATAAAAAATAAAAAAATTGTATAAATAGCTTACAAAGTAAATGTTTCATTCCATGTCGGATTATTTGAATTGTTAACTATTTTTGTTCGTTGTTTATGATCTTTATCGAAATAAACTTCAACATAAGCATCATTTTCACCAATAATATCTTTGTTTTTTAATTGGCGACCTTCAACAATTGTTACTTGTAAAGTTCCATATGGATGACTCATTCTTTCTTGTTTTTGAAAATTGAAACACTATACCTCTTGGTGTCGTTTACAAATTCAGTAGAAATAAAGTCTGCAATAAATGGTGTAAATAAGTCAAAGAAAGAAAGGAAATTCCCGTACATCAGAATGAGATTTTTTTCCTCTCGAAAAACTATCACAGTGGCATGACAAAAAACAACATCTTATTGAAGAATAATGGTGACGTTTTAATGAGAAACGACAAAATAAAAAACAGACGTTCCTTTATTTTCTTACTTACTTTATGTATGTTTATGTTTCTATCGCAACACATGGTGCACAGGAAACCTAATTAGAAAAGAAGAGAACGGTAAGAGGCTGTTCTGAAGTCTTGTACGATCACGTGTTTGACTTCGTTGGACAGCGTGGATGTGTGAGTGTAGTCTTTGTGCATGTAATTATGGATAGGGGTTTTAGTGTTGGTGCGTAGCGTTGTCGTTGGTATGTGGCATGCGTATAGGTTTAAGTAAGAATGTAAAGGAAATTCAAAAAAAAGGTTTAACACAAGACTCGCAATCTTACTAGCAATCAAACTGAAACGCATGCTCGTATCCGCGCATACATCCAAGCCGACACTCATACTCACTCTCAACTTGATGATATGATTATGGAGTCCATTTGGTTTCTCGTTTCGGTCGAAAATGATTTTAAAAAATGTCAAAACTCCCCTGGTTCATTTAGATTTTCGTCCTGTCTATGTGTCCTCTTGACATTTCTGACACGGATTAAGAAAGGTGATTATTTTGCTGCCTATTGTTTAATTAAATTTATTGTCTCGTTCTGTTTGAATGTTGGATTAATATAACATAATTTATTTGGGATGGTAATTGTTAAAATTTAGAAAAAATTTGAAAATATTTCGGAGATATGTTTCTCCTTCCTTAGTTCGTTTATTATTGTAATAACCCAGGCCGACGATTACGGACTTCGTATACACCTGTAAATGACCGTATACGTTTCCTATACGGCTGTAAACGGTCATATTTTGGCGGTTTACATAGTTCAGTATGACGGTCGTATATCACCGTGACCATATACGGAGAAATACTATCGTATACGAAGAAATACGGAGCAAAACGAAGATCGTATACGGACTCCATATACGAGTACCGTAAACGATCGTTTCTTTCTCCGTATACGGCCGTTTATCAATGTCCTTGTTTGACCTGGAACGGTTACGTTTTTACTATGTACAATATCTATGTGCCTATTGTTGTCTTTTTCTTTCTTCTCTAATAATGAAATACAATGAGAAGACAGTAATGCTGGTCGATAAAAATTATGTGTTTTTATCCTCCGCTATATTATCAGAGAAAAAAGAAAGGGAAAAAAGCATAGACAGATACTTATTATACATAGCAAAAACATAACTTTATTGCAATAGTAAATGAATTAACGAAGGAGAGCTATCTTCGAAATATTTCCAAATTTTATTATAAATTTTGATAACTAACATCTGAAACAAATTATATTATATTGATCTATCATTAAAACAGGACAAGATTTCGTATTTAATTAAACATAAGAAACAATTAATAACCTTCCTTAATTTGTGCAATTATAAAATCCTTTACAGATAGAGAATCACAACAATAATCAAACATCTGGAGAAATTACTAATTAAAAAACTAACTATTGAACAATACATTAGTTTTCTAAAACAATGTACACATAATAACATCATTCCAAAAGGTTTTGTTATTAAACATAACACTAATAATTACAAAAGAAGAAAAATATAATTATATATAGAACAATGATAAAAACAAAAAACAATGCGTTACAGAGGAGATATAAACAACTCCATTTAAACTATACTGAAATAAACACTCAAAAGTTGATATTGAATTGGTTCTTGAATGAATATTAACTTGAAAGTGATTATAGAATAGATCTTCAATGGATTAACCACACACATATAAGAAAAAGAGATTCATTACAAAAATACATGAAAAGAAACTGAAAAGGAAGTCGACAATAAAAAATAACGAAGAGAAAGGCAATAAAAATCAGCAGACAAACAAAGAATCTAATGTCATCAATATATCAAATATAAATTTAAATAAACAACAAATAAACGTATTAGTATTAGAAAAAGGTTTAAAGTTTGTTATAATCTCTACATCAATTTCATTGAACATTTAACTAATACGGAAAAAGTCACTACTTGAAACATCGAAATTGATCAAATGAGTAGCAGTAACTGAGATTTCAACGTTTGTTCAGACATGATAGAAATTCAGAACTGACAACATTATAAAAAGTGAAAGAAAAGCGTAAACAATATTAGAAAAATCAAAGATATTATGATCATACAAGTCAATAAATGTAGAAAGTCATTGTTTTAAATAAAAACGATTATATCTAGAAAATCGAAGCGAAATTAAATGAAACCAAAATGTATGACAAGTATGAAATACAATTAATAAAATCAAAAAGAGTATTTCTCAATTCATTGCGAAATCGTTCAAGCAAAACAAAATAAAACAAAGCCAAAACCTACCAAATTCAATAGGAGACTTATCTCGAGTAAGAGAACAACTAAAACTGCACAAAATGAATCATTCCATGAGATTAATGAGTTGCTCGGAAAATACAATAATATCACTATGGTTCTAATTCACCTTTTCATTTATAAAAGAATTAAGAACAACAATTAATAATTCAATTACTAGCGTGTAAAATTTCGTAATGGAAATATATAAAGTAATATTAAAAAACGATAAAAAATTTGCAACCCTAGATATTGAAAATATGTTTACCAATATACTAATAACAAGAGCACTAAACATTACAACACATAGAATTGATAAATCAGAAGCACTTAATAACCTATTATTAGCACAAACAAATCTGAAAGATATTACTCGTGCTATCATAAGATACTAATCATATTTAATTCAATAATAAATACTATAAACAAAAACATGAACTATCAATGAGTAATTGTTTATCATCTGTACGAGACATCTAAATGAAATTAATACAACACAAAAATTGTGAAGATACGTAGACGACATACTATTAATTACTAACATGAACAAAACAGAATTGAATGAATATGTGAATGAATTGAATAAACTTCAAAGCAATATAAAATTCAAAATTGAATTTGAACAAAATAATATGATCAATTTTTTTGATACTACATTAACTAGAAATACCAATAATAATAATATTTTAGGTGGTTTATGAAAGAAACTGTAGCCAATATATTCAACACAAAACGACGAAGAACAAAAAAGAAGATCTAAAACAGCTTATAACCGCTGCTCCTTTGGGGTTGAAATGTGGAACTCATATCAATTCTTTAGCCTCATTAAACTTAAATAATATAGGTAAAGTGAAAACTCTCGTAGACTAGTTGTTTTATTTCTACATTTAAACAGAATATTTTTCTTTTTCTTGGGAAGTTGCTAAGGTCTGTAATGAGAAGAGGAAGGGTGGGAAACCGGAAAACTTCGACTTAAAACTTACACTCACTATTTTCTTCGAAAATATATGTGAGTTTCACAAAAACTTATCGAAATTACGAAAAACTCAAATTACTCTAAAGACGAAATAAACAATCTAATCAAAACAACACAATCAACAATTAATTATCAAACATGGCTAATATAAAGAAAAACCAAACAAATGAAATATTCTATTACTTTACCATATACAACTAGAATCAAAATACTAAAAAAGAAACTCAAGGTACAGTTGTTTTTTCTCATACGTAAACAAATTACAACCTTACCCTAACACATCAATAGAAATAAGAACAAACTCAGTTATATGACAAATTGAATGTGGATGTGGAGCAATATGTACCGAAGAAACAAAAGTTGAATTCAGGAAACAAACTAAACAACATAAAAAACTAATCAATAAAGGTGAGAAACAATCAACAATACTTCTTCAAATGAGTGACACCTTCACCTGACTCATTAAATATATGCAAAGAAAACGAAAAATATATATTGGTGAGCCCTTTTGATCAATGAACACGACAGCACGACAGGTGGCGTACACGGTTGCTTTATAGATACGCATGAAATAGTAATCATCTCAAAAGGGATCATTCAATTATATACCTATAGGCATCATTTTAGTATAATCAACAATGCTCTTTTTAATATTATTTTACTGTAAGCTTTTCATTATTTACAATAGCTTATACTCCATTATCTTCTCTTGACGATTTAACTATTTGTGAATGGAATGACTTAACTTCAACCATTAAAAAAACAATTGATTTTGGCCAACGAGTTGGTTTATTACATATATATATATATACAACTGAACCATATCCAGAAATACACAACATTTGGTGTTTAAGTGCGTGTGCAAGATCAACCGACAAATGGAAGACACATTGTCGAACATATAAGTGTTCTCGTTCTTTACGTGAAACCATTCTTTTTTCACAGATTCGGCTTAAATTACAACAAATATTGGATTTAATGATATATTGGTCTCAAAGATTAGGTTTTCACAAATTTATTCAACGAAATATTAATATATTAGGTGACGCAACTATCATCGACTGGAAAAATTTTATGCTTGATTTATGTGTGGAATATATTATTCGTCAAACGATAGTTATTGGTAGGGTTCGGCATGTGGCCAAAATCGACGAAAGTGCATGGACCAAACGAAAATATAATCGAGATCGTCAGGTAGGTACTCAGTGGGTATTTGAAGGTATTGATCTGGATACTTGTGAGTGTTTTTCTGCACTCGTAGATCGACTTGATACAGCCATATTAATCAGAATTATTCATCAATTCATTTTGCCCAGTACAACGATTCATAGTGATCGATGACGTGCTTATAATGCAATTAACAAAGGCATTAATAGTCCTGATCGTTATATCCATCAAATAGTTAATCATTCAGCCAATTTCGTCAATCCAACAATATTGGTATATACGCAAAGCATGGAAAGTGTGTCGATAGTGGCAAAAATGGAAAAAAATTAAATGGATCAATATTGT